CTTTGAATAAGAAAAACATAGAAATTCAAAAGTCTGATTATAATTTTGTCGATAAAAACAAATATATTCAGAAAACATGCATTAAAAAGAGCAAGTGTAGCCCATTTGATTTTTTACAAAGCCCACAATAGTTAAGTACAAGAACCTATAAGAAAGAATCCATAAAACAATATCGTACAAGAAATGTGGAAAGTCAATCCTCCACAAAGATGAACTCGACGGGGGTGCTTCCAGCATGTTTGAGGATGGATATATTATAGACGAATTTGAATGTTTGTAATAAGTTCATTTCTTTCAATAAACTCTCGCCTACCAAAAAAATAAGTTCATTTCTTGCAACAAAAATATTTGACAAAATAATTCAACCAATTGTCGTGAGAAATTTTCAGTTTATAGTTAGTAACTCACTCAGGCCCGGCCCTTGCCTAAGGCAAGCAAAGCATGTGCTTTAGGCCACACATTATAATCTGAATTTGAGGGCCACACAACCAAAAGAGACCTTAGTCTATTGGTCTTCAATCATTTTTTGTGATACAAAATAATGATGGTTCGACTCCTATTACTCACCTGCTACTTTTAGTTTTTCTTTTTACATTTCCAAAATTGAAAATCATTCTCTGTGTTCCCACATCTCGCTTTCCAATATTCTGGTTTTAAGACTTTTGTTTCAATAGTTTAGTTAATAAATATAATTTTGGCTTTTAAACTTTTGAGTATAAGTTTTTAAATTGTTTTTTCTTATTTTACATGTCATATTTTGTTAGTGTTTTTATTCATATTATTTGTCTTTGTTACAAATTTCACTGTTTTAAAACTAGTTCTTTAAGTGTCGTTTACTCTATACTCTTTATTTCATTACAATATAAAATATTTATAAAAAGCAAATATTTATTATTATATCTACAAAATATTACTTTAAATAACTTCTTTACATAAACAGAATGGAAACTAACTCAATGCTATATGTAAGAATTTATATAGATTTAATTTTCAATTATGAAAATAGAGTGAAGTCACAAAAAAATTTTAAGCTTTAGGCCACACGAACATAAGGACCGGCCCTGAACTCACTTAATCTTTTTTCCCATTATCTGGTTGGGTTACTATTGTTTTAATTGCTTTCTTGTGAGTTCCTTTGTTTACAAATGTTTTAATGTATTTTGAAAACCAAAACGTCCAATTTAGTTCACAATTTCATAAAGCCATCATGTAATGCAGTTGGTATCTAGTAGTTCAATATATGTTGACATGTTGTCTCTAAGGTTTTTTTGTTAGTCTGACAAATATTACAAACCCTTGATTAATATTAAAAATTTGAGATAAAAACTATACAGACATTGAACATAAAAAGTACTGGTGGATATAAAGGGTCATAACGTTGTAGAAAGAGTTGTGCAATTGAAGGAAGGAATAAAAAGTTACTACAAAGACACTGAAATAAAAAGTTATGACGAATTCAATCACAAACCAGTAGTGGTTGATATAAAGGGTCATAACGTCGTAGAAAGAGTTCTGTAATTGAAGGAAGAAATAAAAAGAGACACCAAAACCCAAATACTACCCCAACATATATATAGATCCAAACCGTAATATTATCGATGGGAGTCGCTAATATGATGGGGATTAGGAAGAGAAATCCCGCTAAATCGCAGAGATATTGAAATCCCATGGCCTCCAACGGCTTGTTAGACAGTCTGAACTTGATTTCAAATACGAACACACAGAGGCACATCAAGAAGATTCCAATCATATAGCCAAGCACGTCGACATATAAGCCATATTTATAGAGAATATGAAAATTTATCCAGGTGTATGCGATGATAATCAGGGAATGCATCACCATTGAGTAGACTCCTCCCGTAAACACTCTGCCATATATTATGATAGAGTGATGAGAGTTTATGGTTGAGAAATGAGAAGTAGTAATATTCTCTCTACAAAATTGCAGAGTATATCATATATATAATGGTATATCTAATTAAAAGTATACATAATTTATACCAATTACTAGATATCTTTAAAATCTCTATATATATTCACAATATCTTTTAAAAGAAATTAATTGACTACTAGTTTTTTAGTGTAACATAGACACTCACATGATGATAAATCGAAGTCCGCGGTTGACTAAGCTTCTTTCGGTGTTGGTATCATCCATCTGCAAAAAAAAAAAAAAAAAAAAAAAAAAAAAAAAAAAAAAGTTAAATCTAGTCTCAAAAGAAAAAATCATGGGCTTACAAAACTTTTTCTTTAGAACATTTTTCTGCAGTTTTATATATATATAAACGTAAATATCAGTAATGATATGATTAACCAGGAAAGAAAGGCATGCGTAGCCAAAAAGAGATAAAAACGTGGGAGAGTCTAAAGGGTGAGCCACTGCATTAGGTTATCAAAACTCGTCTTGAGATTTGCTTAGAAGAATGACCGTGATTATACCTATATTTAAATCCATGGTTAAATATAATACCAACTAAGAAAAGTTGTATCAATAAATTTATGTGGATTTGCAGAGTATTTTCGTTTCTATGACGAATACCAAAAAAACACACACAGAGATGTATATCCACAAAATATAAAACACTAAGAAGAAAGATTGATTGAGTATACTCACCGATGATAGTTTTAGTGACAACAACGTAAATGGTGACGAAGAGTCGAAGACTAGATACGGTGAAAAGAAGAGAGCTAGAGAATTACTTTAATAAAAATATTTCTGTTAATTAAAGATCATGGTACTAAAAAAAAAGATGATGGCATGGTACTTATATATGTACTAGGAAAATCTTTTTCATTACAAATGGAAAGGCGAAAAAATACCAGTTGAAAAAAATGAGAGAAAAATAAAATAAAATAAAATAAAGAACTAAATATAGGTTGTAATCAATATATAAATGCAAAGAATACATCAAATTTTACAGTTTTCAATAAAAACAGATAATATGTCATTGTATAGCTAGATATACTTACATATGCATCTATATGTGTAAATTAAAAATTTAGAATATAGATATTAACAATATATTACCCTTTAATATAAGATATACAAAATATTTTTAAAATGTGTAATTAGTAAACTCCGCCCCTCCAAATTGGGCAACAAATCAAATATTTTGTTCTTTAGGTTAAAAAGTTTGATTGAAAAATATATTTAATCAGTGAATAAGTGATTTTATAATTTCAGGATATGAAAACATTTTTAAATACTATATAAAAATCTAACTAAAAGGAAACTAAACATAAAATTAAAATTTATTTATTTTTTACAAAATATAATGATTAACCATATCAATAAAATATGTAAGATCTCTTTCTATAGAAAGATTTATATCTAATTTGGTATGAATATGTTAAAAAGCTTTAAAAAATTTGCAAACTATAGTGAGTAATCAAATCATATAAAGAAAAGTTTTGTATGATAATGATGAGTTGATATATTTCTGGAATAAAATCTGTAGAGACTGTCCATATGTGAAATACCAATTTTGCAATTACATTTTCTGAAAACACTCTCGAGGAGCTTTGGTGTGTGGAACAATGACTTACGTACGGACATAGACGATACCTCCACATTAGATACCAACATGAAATACCGGTCCAAAAACATTGAACTTGTTCCGGAAATTAATGTTTGAATGTAACAAAAACAATGTTCTCTCTGCCGTCGAAACAATATTAGTTAATTTGTCGATTATACTTTAAATGTAATTACCGCTTTCATTTGTATATTTGTTTTTGTCGTGATTCTATCCAATTCCAAATGAAAACACATTTTCGGACTTGGTTTTAACTTTTTTAATTTGACATAAATGTTGGAAATTTGGTATTTAAATAATTAATTTATGGAGTTGAAGACTTGTGAAGGTAGAAACCAAAAATGTATTTGCTTCCATCAGAGCCACGCAACCAATGGAAAACGTGACACTTGTACATACACATGCACCCGTTTTCTTACATATATAGACTGAAAATATCAAAGTAGTTATATTAAATCATGTTTTCCGCTGATAAATGGCGTACAAAATAGAAAAAACGTATTTTTTTATACTTCTTTTGTATTTAATCTCGTGCATATCCTTTCTGTGTTGTAAAGTCTTCTTAGATTCGTTGTATACAAAGATCTATTCCATAAGTTGTATCTAAAATTTATTCAGACTAATTATGCGATTGTATTATTGTTTCATAGAAATTAATTAAACGAGCTCTTTTATAAATCAAAGTAGTTAATTTTAGGTCTGTGTGAGTTTTTTTAATTCAATTCATGAATATTTCTTTTTTAAAGTTAAAATTAATACTTTCTTCTTAAATTTTGAAGAAGGATTTTCTTTATATATAAACTTTTCGAAGTCGTGGAGCTATGTTCTTAAAAAAGACAAGCTAGGAATATTATATTTGAGTTTCGCTGTATTATTTTCTCGTTGCTTTTATGATCTTGAAACGTGATTGAACCTATAATCTGAGGGGATGAACCAAATTTAATGTTGCTACCAGTTAATTGTTTTCTTAACCAACTAATTGTTTTCATTTAGTTGATATATTGATCGATTTTCTATCATACTTATTCGGTTATGTAATACGTTATTTAATGGCAGTTACGTATTCAAGAGTAAAATTTAAAGATTTTTATTAGTTACTTTGTTAAAATATATTCTTTTAAGAGATCAAATTTAATAAAAGAAAAAAATGAACACTATTTTAAGATCCAAAAATACAAATTAATATACGAAAAAAAAAGTAAAACTGCTTAAAATAATAATATGAAGTAAAGAAAAAGAATACTTCAAATGCTGATCGCTTTGACAAACTACAACTTATCAAACAGTAACATAAATTGTTCATAAATTATTTTTGGTATCAAATTCACAAAGCACTTGGTAACAAGCTACAGGACAAATTCATATTTCATCATTAATTTGTAATAAAGTTAGTTGTTTTCCTCCTTATACTTTCAATTATTCTAACAAAAAAAACAAATTAATATGGATAATTGATAAGGGAGAGAGAAACAGAAGATGATGCTGATGAAAACATAGGCACATGTGTTAGGTCTGAAGCAAGGAGAGAAAGGCAGCTCCTGCTTCTTTGCATGAAACCTTTCTAAAACTCTTCTCTTCTCTCGCCACGAACCCTTTCCCCCATACCCTTCACACGACCCCTTCCACTTTTTTAATCTCTTGTCTTCTTATTACATCTCATCAAAATTCATATTTAATGATAATAATCCAAAACTAACAATATTTAAATATACGTTTTAACTTATTCTCATGTCTGTATACTCAATCTCATATATATATATAAACCACATTATATATCCCATCTTTCATCTCACACACATCTCTCAAAACCAAAACACATACAAGCAAAAAAACAAGTTATATATTATCATGGATGTCGTTTGTACGGAACATCATATGAGGAAACCAACGGTGGAGATTCCTCCGAGAAGGCTTCTTTTATCTTCCAAGAGTTTTCCTTCGGATTCTTCTTCCCCTCGTTCGCCGCGTAAACATAACTGGAACAAAAGCAACAAGATCACATCTGAACATGAAGAAGACAACTTCAACAACGAAGACAACAACAAGGAGATTAAAGAGTACTGTTATGACTCCGACTCTGATGATCCTTACGCAAGTGATCATTTCCGGATGTTCGAATTCAAGATCCGTCGTTGCACTCGTAGCCGAAGCCACGATTGGACTGATTGTCCTTTTGCTCATCCCGGTGAAAAAGCTCGCCGTCGTGATCCTCGTCGCTTTCAATACTCCGGTGAGGTTTGTCCCGAGTTTCGTCGTGGTGGTGATTGTAGCCGTGGAGATGATTGTGAGTTTGCTCATGGAGTCTTTGAGTGTTGGCTCCATCCTATTCGTTACCGTACTGAAGCTTGTAAAGATGGTAAGCACTGTAAAAGGAAAGTCTGTTTCTTTGCTCATTCGCCACGTCAGCTTAGGGTTCTTCCTCCGGAAAACGTTTCCGGCGGCTCAGCGTCGCCGTCTCCTGCCGCGAAGAATCCGTGTTGTTTGTTTTGTAGCAGCTCTCCCACGAGCACTCTTTTGGGTAATTTGTCTCATCTTTCTCGATCTCCGTCTCTGTCTCCACCTGTGTCTCCGGCTCATAAAGCCGCTGCTTTTTCACGGTTGAGGAACCGCGCCGCATCTGCCGTTTCTGCCGCTGCAGCCGCTGGTTCAGTTAACTATAAAGACGTTTTGAGCGAGCTGGTGAATTCGTTGGATTCCATGAGCTTAGCGGAAGCGCTGCAGGCGAGTTCTTCGTCACCGGTTACAACTCCGGTTTCCGCTGCAGCTGCCGCGTTTGCCTCGTCCTGCGGTTTGAGCAATCAGCGTCTCCATCTCCAAAACTTACAACCAAGTAGTCCTTTGCAATTTGCTCTTTCGCCTTCCACTCCAAGCTACCTAACTAACTCACCTCAGGCGAACTTCTTTAGCGATGATTTCACTCCTCGCCGAAGACAGATGAACGATTTCACGGCGATGGCAGCGGTTAGGGAGAAGACTAGCATTGAGGATGGTTCTTGTGGTGACCCTGATCTTGGATGGGTCAATGATCTCCTGACTTGATGGATTGACGGTGGAGAGAAGACGGGAGGGAGATCTGACTTTGAGAATGTAAATTTCGGGGGAGGAGTTTTAATCACATTCATGAATCATGGGAGAATAATCGGTTCGTAACGGTTTGGTCAATGCATGGAGAGATTGTTGTTCAAATTTGTTTTGAAGATTTTTTTTTTTTTACGAATTTCCACGGAAGCTAATTCAGAAGTGTCTTGTGTATTGTCGTTTATTTTTTAGAATTTTCTCTGTCTGATGGGATTTTTACCAAATAATATGTTGAACTTGTAATATCTTGTGGACTCGGATTGTGCAATGTTTCACCAATTCTATAAATATTTTTCCCTTTCATGTATACTTTCTTTGTTAAATCTTTAATGGATGAATTCGGACACTGCAATTTCACCATTCATTTGTAATATGTATTAATGGATGGTTTTTTGTTAATAGTTAATTTGTGTTAGGCTTTTAAACGTATAGAAATATCATTGAATTGCTCATATGGCGTTTTCTCATCGGTTTACGCTATTTAAGTTTTATAAATGATGATGGATATAGGATATGCATGTCTTGAAGATGTTTCATCTCATATATATCTTCAAACTAACGTGTTATGTTTATGAATTGTGAATGTAGATACATATGCATAATTTCCGAATTATTCATCTCCCTCACCCTGAAACGTGTTATGTTTGGTTGTGCTGGTAGACAAGGATATATTTGTTTAACGTTTCCGTAAAAAGTTATATGTCACATCCTTGTTGTATATAAAAACTAATTAGAAAGGTGTGACAAGTTCTCCAATTGTTCTTCTTTGGACACCACACGAAAGCAATTAGTTCATATGAGGCATGTGTAATGTGATCGACAGATGTACACATGGAGACGTGTCCATTACACTATATATTATATGAGATACATACATGCATGGACATGGGATCTACAAACATGTATATTCCTTTTTTTGTGGATTCTAGTCATTGCTATAAACAAAGATTACATAGAGATGAAACACACACACACATATACATATTTTCATGACATGTGTTGTTAGCGATGTTAAATGTTTCTGATTATGAAGAGAAATCTTGATTTTTGATCGGTTTGTTACTCTGGTGTACATGGTCTTAGATATCTTCTCATTTTCACAAATGTTCTTCTTTCATCTATTGTTTACCTTTGCTCTATATCAAGGCTCGGGCTGGTGAGAATACGAGATAGCGCGTGTGTAAAAAAAGGCAGAAAGTGAGATAAGTCTTGTTGTGCCACGTGTCACTGTGGACGGCGAAAAGCACACGTGCCACCCACCTGACACCAATACTTCTTCATTCCCCGTCAGCACGAAATCCAATGGTTAGATTATGATAGGATAAATAGTTGGATTATCATTTTTAATACATAAAAAAAAAGATTTAATCTGATAGTTTATTTCTCTTATAATAAAATATTAGGTTTAATTCTCATGGTTGTACTTCAGCATTTTAACTCTAGAAGCAAAATCAACCAATAGAAGAACAGACAACAAGAAGAGCCAAAAGATAAAGGACATGCAGAACAAACTTATTCAAGGACAACAAAACAATATCAGATTAATCTTTAGGGATCTAAGTTAAGGTCCAGATCCGGTTCCTTTCGCAGCTCACAATCCACGGCGGAGGAAGTCTCAGGCTCTTCCACGGCAGTTTGAGGACCAATACTCAACCCCATATCAATGGACGCAAACTGGTCTGGACAAACTCGATCAAGCTCCTCTTTCAACGCAGTAGCATCGGACGGATCTAAGAAAAATCCAGCAACCGCTTCAGCCACCCCCGGAGACAACAAGTTCTGACAATCCAATGGAAGTGTTCCATCACACGCTGTTTCAGAAAGGGAGTTGTTAACCAGCATCGCCGAAGCATTCACATCGTCTCCAACGAGAAGGAAGTTGGCATTTCCATCAGGCGCCGTTTCAGAAAGGGCGTTGTTCACCGGCGTCACCGAAGCGTTTCCATCTTCTCCAAGGAGACGGAAGTTGGTTTTTGCTTTGGCTCCGTGAAACTCTCTGGCAGCGGAGTCGTAGGCTCTGGCGGCTTCCACCCCAGTGTAAAAAGATCCGAGCCAGACCCGTTTTTTCTTTATCGGATCACGGATCTCCGCAGCGTATCTCCCCCATGGTCTCCTCCTTACACCCCTGTAACGCACTTCCTTACTCTTCCCTACGGCGACGGCCTTAGTTACCTTCTTTTTTTTTGTGGCCATATTTTTGTTGGGTATAGATAAAGGACAAAAGTATCGTTTTATAGAGGGTGACGTAATCCCACAAAAGGACAAAGTGAGAAAATGTAGAAAGAAATGTCCACGTGGATTGACTGACCCGCCGTCTTAAAGAGAAAAGATTTTGTGACGTCATTTTATGTTTTGCCCTAAACGTCCCATTATTGCGTCTCGCACTTTTGCGCCATTTATTTGTTCTCACTTTGGGCCTTAATAAAAGGTTATTAGCCTTGGGCTTTTATCACCAGTAAGATTTTTTTCTAATTTTGTCATTTAAATACCATTGTGAAGAATCAAAACCCTAATCTACCAACGGCTCTTCTTCACTCCAAAGTTTTCGTTTTTTGAAAAAAACCCGAAGGATTCAAATTACACTATGTCGATGACGGCGGATACTAAAGCGACGACTGCGCCGAAACGGAAACCAGTGTTCGTAAAGGTGAATCAGCTCAAACCAGGAACCAGCGGCCATACTCTGATCGTGAAAGTCCTTGAATCGAATCCCGTCAAACCAGCCATTCGTAGAAGCTCGTTGACTCAGTCAATTCGGTCTCCTCGTATTGCTGAGTGTCTAATCGGTGACGATACTGGATGCATTCTTTTCACCGCTCGCAATGACCAAGGTCAGGATCTATCTATTATATATACATAAGTTCTCTTGGTTAGGGTTTCATAAGATTATTGATGAACATGTATATGTCTAAGCTTTGATAATTAGTGTGTTTATGTTTGACATTTATACAAGTTCCTAATCAATATGTGATTCCTTTCTTCACCTCTTTTGAAACCTTCTTTGTTGTGGAGAATTTTGTATGGTAGTAATGATATTCTTTTGGGGTTGCAAATGCAGTTGATCTAATGAAGACTGGAGCAACAGTTATACTGAGGAATGCGAAGATCGACTTGTTCAAGGACACGATGAGAATGGTTGTTGACAGATGGGGGCGCATTGAAGTCACGGATCCTGTTTCGTTTGAGGTTAATCGAGGCAACAATCTCTCTCTGATCGAGTATGAATTGGTCACTTTACCTGTTTAATGACTACAACCGGTGTCTGTCTCTGCTTCTCTTCGTTATTATTTAGTTTAAATTTCACAGATTTCTCTCTAGGGGGGTGAGATTAGATTCAGTTTTTATTAGTTTTGAGATTATGATCCTGTATTTTGATCTTGCATAGTTCGGAAAAGTGCTTTAATTGGTATCATTGGTGATTTGATTCTGTTTTTATCACAAGCTCACTGGTGAAAATCGTGGTCATAAATTGAGCTTAAGATAAACATTAAATTTTGAACATAAGCATACTAAATATAACTCACAGCTTTGATTTGTATAACTTAAAAGTGTTTTTTTCGTTTCACTTTTCATAAAAGACAAGTAAATGGAGATTGCACAATTACTCCAAAAGGTGTTTTGTTTTCTCAAATACCATTTCTTTCTAAGGCTCATACTCTTCTTGACTACCCTCCAAGCTCTTGTAGTATTCCTCCATAGTTTCAAACTCGTTGGGATGATCATTTCCTCGAGCATTCTCATACCCGCGACTAGCAGGGGTGTTTTCTGAATTCCTACCTCTTGTGTCGTAGAAATACTTACCGTTCTCCATAAACCTTGTGTCACTCATCCCTTGCTTCTCTTCGACATTACCGTAACCTCTCCCATTGTCATTATAGTTGTTATTAGTAGTGTAAGTGTTTCCATTATCGTTGTTATACTTATCCTTTTGCTCATTGAGATCTTCCGAATCTTCGGACTCTTCTTCTTCCTCGAATGCCTCAGGTAACTGAGTATTTTTTTCTTGGTCAAATGTAGCCATCAATTTCTCAAAGTCTTCGTCTGTGGTAGTAGATGAAACCGGCCATGACTCTTTGGTTTGAGGGATCATACCGGAACCCGGCCCGAAAGACCCATCTCCGAGTCTTCCTTTAGCTTGAGCTAGTCCGGGAGCTGGAGCTGGAGTTAGAGCCACCTCTTTGTTGTTAGGGCGATCTAAGTGAGTGAACTTGCTAAAGAAGAGCTTACCTTCTCTAGCTTCAACATTGTGAACAATGAAGCAAAAAACAGCAATGAAACAAAAAATGGGTTTCAGAGCAAAAGAAGCCATCGATGAAGAGAGAATACTGTGAGAGTGTGAAAGATTATAGGATTTGAGATATATTTTGGATTGTAAGTGAGAGTTTATGTATAAATAGAATTAAGAATTAGTTAAATGAGCCGAGCAAACATGCGAAGATTGAGGAGGGACATTCGTCATTCGCGGCGAGTGATTTAAAATAAAATTTGAAAAGGTTATAAAGAATTAATAAAGTGGGTCATATGGTGAATATTTTGCATTTGTTAGTTTTATTTCTATATTTTTGGTCAAAAAGAGAAGCACCCAAGAAAACAATTTACGAGTTACTATAATTTACACATGCCTTTTTGACTTTGTTCGGTACTTGAGTTAGTTGAAAATGAAGATCAGAATTAGATCATGTTTTGTGGTAGCAAAGCTTTAGATGATGTCAAAGGATATATATATATTTATATAATAACTATACATAGATCTCTAAAATGTCATTTTAATGATTATCACAAGTTTTGATAACTATCACAAGTTATATTTTATTAGAGCATGAATATTGGTTGAAATGTTGAGTATCTTAGACAAATCTTAGGATTAAAGTTGATTAAAAATAATCAAACCAACATCTTAAAGTTAAGATTTGTATCTAAGTTAAGATGTTTTTCTTAACTTAAGATGTTGCAAGGTGTCACATTGTGATTGGTTAAAAAATCAAACAAAATAAGAATTTTTTTTTTTGTGCTTTATGTTATTTATGTTATAAATTGTATCTATGTATGTTTTAATTTTTTTAATTTGCAACAATTATTAAATTTTCTATAATTATAAATTTTATTTTTATATTAATATTTTTTTTATAAGAACCACATGTTAAGAACCTACCATTAATCACACAAAAATCTTAACCAAAAATACTACTTAAATATATTACCAATATTCCTAAGATTTATTTCTAAGATACTACCAATAATCATGCTCTTAGTAGATTGTAGATTTATGATATAATAGTAAATAATTTGATAAAAATAGATGTGCAAATTTTTATTTTTATTTTAAATAGTATATTGGTAAGAACAAAAGAAATTGATAGAATGATAGTTCGTTTAGACAACATTAAAGAGAGAAAGCAATAACGAAGAATAGGTGGGTCCAATGGGACGAGTCATGATGGTTCTCTCGACGATTGCTTAGTGTGGAACTGAAGCTATCTCAGCTTTTGTCCCGTGATCGTCGGGAATTATTTTATTAGTATCTCTATTTAGGCTTGTCGCCTTGTCGGAGAAACATATTTGATACTTTACTCTGTACACCCTATGCAATACATCATTCTATAGCAATATATGGTTTTTACAATTTTTCACACGAATAAAATTTTGAATTATATAGTCTACATTTCTACAAAGTCACTTTTTAACCAAGGACAAATCAGGTATTCAGTTTTAAAATTAAATTAAAAAAAAAAACGTTTTAAATATTTTATTATAGTGAAAACTATTATTTAGAGCAGCAACCACACATTGTTTTCTTATGATCCAAAAGTTTAACAAGCCCATGTACTACTCCAGCCCATTTTCCAAATGCCTAGCTGTTAAACACGTCATGACGCCGTCAAATAACAGTTGTTGACTTTGTTCTAACGGACTCAAACGCCTCCGTATCAATGCCAACAAACACAGATTTGACATTAAAAACCTTAAGGCTAAAAAAAGACGCTTTTATTTTCTGCAATACCATTTTTTCATTTCGAGGCATCAAAATCCACAAAAAGTTCCTAAGAACAAGAAACTTGACCTTCTTTTCACGTTACTAGTACAACTTTACTTTCGCAAAACTGTGCGTTCATAGAGCTGAACCAAATCTCTCTTTCTTGGATTCTTTAACCCAACCAACTCAGCCCCAAACCCATGTTCTAGTATCTCACTTCTCAGCTTCTTCATTGTGTATTTCAAATGCCCCGTGCCCGTGGAAGAAGACGTTCCAGCTTCTGTGCTCGTGCATCTTCTCGGGGTCATTGTCCTAACTTTCCTGCTCTCTTGTGAAACTGTATCTTCTTCGGTCTCTTGAGCAAAATCTGAACCCGAACAGGTCACTGCTGCTTCTACCTTCAAACGCTTTACACGCTGCATCGGTGTTGCTTCATCCGAAACCATAAAAGAGTCTTCTTTCTCCATCAAATTCACTCGCATGTTTTTTGCCTTCTCGGAGTTGATGATTCTCTGCCAATTAGTAACCGCTTCTTCGTTTTGTTTCGCTCTGGTCTCCAGAGTTTCAGAAAGTTCCACCCTTTGCCTCTCCAGATCTTTGATTTGTCCCTTCGCTCTGTCAATTTCGATGCTCCTTTCCTGCAACGACATCTTGAGTTTCTTTTCGTTGCTCCGTGCGCTTTCCACTTCCATTTTCATCGAACTCACTAGTCCTTTGACAATTGCAGCCTCACTTTCCACATCTTTTAGCTTCAAGCAGTCTCTTTCAAGTTCTTCAATTCGGCTCTTAGCTAGGTCGATTTCAATGCATTTATCCTCCAACAGCGTCTGGAGTTTGTTCTCGTTTTTCTGGGATACTTCCGCTTCCATTTTCATCGAATCCACAAGTTTCTTAGATGCTGAATCTTCACCTTCCCCACTATTGAGCGTGCAAATTTTTTCAAGCTCCTCAATACGGCTCTTAGCTCGATCAATTTCAATGCATTTCTCCACCAGTGATGTCTGAAGTTTGTTCTCGTTGTCACGGGCTGCTTCAGCTACCATTTTCAAAGAATCCACAAGTTTCTTAGCTTCTAAAGCCTCACTTTCCACATTCTTCAGTCTCAAAACGAGTTTTTCAAGTTCCTCCAAATGTGAATGACACTTCTTGTCCAATTCATCTTTCTCTCGCTTTAACGTCTGTGTCTCAGTTTCAAGCAACTCAGATGCGGATTTTACAGATTCATATTTCTCATTCAGAGCCGAGATTTGAAGTCTTAAGTCTTTTGCTTCTGAAGAACATTTGTCCACCTTCAACACAGTTTTCTGCAACAAAGCAACAATCAAAAACATGTTACAGCACGGGAGGGAAAAAAAAAAAAAAAACATGTTACAGCACGTAGAGTAATCAATTTGCTTTTTATGAGCTCGTTAAGGTCTTTTCACGAAGATTAATACAATTAAAGAAACAAGAATCTTAAGAGAATAAGAATAGGGACTCAAATGTTACAGCACGCAGAGTAATCGAATTGCTTTTTATTAGCTCGTTAAGGTCTTTTCACGAAGATTAATACAGTAAATAAACAAGAATCTTAAGAGATTAAGAATAGGGACTCAAATGTTTCAGAGAAGTTCACCTTTAATTCTGAACGCGTAGAGCCCAATTGCTGCTCCAAAGTCGCAAGCTTTGCAGCTTTCTCAGTGATTACCTTCTCCTATCAGTAACCAAGAACCAGAGTCACAACTTGATCAGTTTACTGTTAAGTCAGCCAAATGGTTAAGTTATTGTGCTCGATTACAGATTTATCATATGATAAGTTTCTTTTAATTCAAGAAAGCCTAACCTTTTCATCCAAAATACGGGAGTACTCAGCTCTCATGCCATCTTCTGTGGATGAAGCTTGCTTTAACCTCTCCTCCATTGCCGCTATCTTCTCTGAAATAGCTTTTTGCTCACTAACAGTATTCTCGTATTTTATTTTCCAATCAATTAACTTATTACTGCACCTAGTGATCGACGCATCTACCCCTATCCGATTGTTGCCCACGCCATTCTCATCCAAAGTCCCCTCATACTTACGTTTCCACTCAGAAGCCTCAAGTCTTGTGGATCCCAGCACCTCCATGAGGTTCGAGTGTTCATCGTGAATTGACTTACACTTACTTTCCAAGTCATGAATACGGTTTTTGAACTGATCTGAGAGCTTACTTATATCATCAATGGCACTCTCGTAACGCTTCTGATATTCCTTGTTCATTTTCTCTCCACCTTCAAGCTGTTTCTTGAGCAAATTCATCGTGCTTTCCATGGAATGTTGCTGTAGCTTGAGTTTGGAGTTCTCAGACAGAAGTTCGTCCATTTGATTCCCTCTGCGATGGACGAGAATGTCCTGTATACTGACAATTAGTAACTGAGAGAGGTTAATCTTTCCATGAAGAACAAACATATAAACATAAAAGATTAATCTTTAATTGGTGAAAGTATATAGGCATAATGAGAGAACCTCTTTCTCAAAAAGGAAGATAGTTTCTGCCACTTCATAGGACCGTTGATGGATATTTCATACTCCCCAACTGCGGTATCAAGGGCCTGTTTCATACAGCTTACAACAATGTTTATAATGAAAGCAAGACTTGCTCCAATGGCTAAGAGTTGCTCTGCGTGAGGCTTTACTATGTCTACTATATTGTGATGGAAAAGTCAGTTTTAAGACAGAATAAAAAGAGCACCTTGATCATATTGCCTATATTAGCATCATGAGAACAAGGCAATGCCCATAATTTCTTGCCCATATCTTCTATGGCATTGCAACATCTCGAATACGCCTCCAAATTTGCCACTCGCTTGTGATCCTGAAAACAAAAAACACTATTTAGCAAACTGGCATATTGGCAAAAAAGTATAAAGAGATAAATAAAGGGGGACAGGGAGAGCGAGAGATAGAAAGATAACCTCCAACGCCTTTGCAAAGAAACTCCAAAGCTCTCTTTCGTGTTTCTGTTTTACTTCGACGTTTCCAATGGAAGATTCACAAAATGCGGTCAAAGCTTCAACAACTGCCTTATTGTGTGCTTCTATCAGCATCGACTGCAGATGATCATGTGAATAGTTGAGTTTACTAGTGTGTCTAAGTGATTGTTGAATGCTACACGAATTTAAACTTACTTCATCAGGAGTCTCTGAACGCTCCAAAGACGACATGTATACATCAGTTGCTATATCAAGGGACCTGCGACCTTCTAATTCCTCTACAGTCTGCAAATACAGATGAGTGATGCATAAGAATATGCAGAATAATATGATGAGAACAGTGAAATACCAGAATTGACTTATTAATTACCTGCCATAAAGAAGATATTTTAGGCACGATGTTGTTATTAACATTTTCAGAAAACGCCTTTGTGAAACCAGCAAGTGGTGGCCCTGTGATGATGGTACCACCTCTTAGCTTAGGCCTTACTCTCTCAGAGACAAACTTCATGAGGGCATCTATACCGTAGAGAATCTGAGGTCTTAACGTTTCGAGCTATTCACAAAAAGAAACCAGAAGTTTTACCGGACAAGGGAAATGAAAAAAAAAAAAACTTACACTAAGGCTTGATTAGGGAAATAAAATAATAACAATAATAAACGATTTCTCGTATCCAAAAGAATATTTAAGAAAGACAAGAAGGATTAACCCACTTTGCTATTCTGAGTTACATCTTCTCCACCTTCCACTGTTTCTGAGTTAATGCCCTGATAATAAAGAAGTTAAAAATCATTCACAAACATCAGAGACTAGCTGATTCTAAATCCTTAAGAATGTAATCACCCTCATAAGTTGAACAAACATGGGAGAGAACTGCCCAAGCCCGAAAAATGTATTGTCCTTAGCTTCTCCAACGTGGTCTTGCTTCCTAATCTCAAGTAGACGAGAGAGATCAAGTGCAATGTCATTTACACCAAGTGTCTGAAACATGAAGCAGAAATTTTCATTATTCAAAGCACTAAAAGTGTGTTTAGAAAAATTTCTTCAGAAAGAAAACTCAGTCATAGGTAATTTACCGGACCATAGATAAACACGCTTGATAGGAGGATAGCCAAGGAGAATATCTGGCTATTTCGTGTAGCCTAACATATCAAATCAATTAACACTTGATGAGACAGCTTATCCCTATAGAACCTTTAAAACTTTGAAAAGACCAGAACCTTTGAATAGATAAAACAATACTACTAACCGGTATACCCTTTGAGTCTTCCCATTCGACATCGAGTAACACTAAACTATATTCAGTGCCATCTTCTGAAATCCTCTTCACTGGCTCAATCCACATCCATATATCTCCGTTGCATGGCCTGTGAACAGTTTGAACTTCAAATCCAATGCTCCTGCTAAGAAGCTATAGATCAACATTCAAAAATCAGACACTTTGAGCTTCAAATTGCAATCACTACAAGACAATGCATCAGAGAGAAGCACATGCAAAAATTGATCCCAGAAAACAGAAATTTTGCAGAAATAAGCCAAACGATTTCCACAATTAAGAACCAAACACCCTTAGATCATCAGAATTATCATCACAACCAAAAGCATTGTCTTTTATCCATCAAGAGCACGAATCAAAGATACCACAAACGAAAGCAATACTAAAACCCTAAACCCTCAATCAAAGTCCAAAGCAAAGCCAGGAATAAAACCTGATTCCAGATGAAGCTCTTGCCATGGAGAGCTTTACCAAAGAGAGAGACAACAGCGACAGGACCCTTAAGCTTCTGAAGAGCGCCGATTGCTTCCGGGTCCGTCTTCAACTTCCCATTTTCATCAACGTAAACCAATTGGATGGCCCGACCCGACTCCTCCGTTGGGTTCCTCATAAAAACCCTCTAAAGGCGTCTCCTTTCTTCTCCTGGTGATGAGTCACTGAATATCTTCGCTCGAATTTCACAATGGGTCTTCTCCAATCTTTCTACGGGCACGATTAGTGTAGAGAATAAAGTACTAAAACTTGAAGAAAGTACAGTAAGAAAAGATTTGAACTTTTGGAGAGAGAGAGAGAGAAGATCTCCCACAGACGACCGACTGAAGATTTGGTCCGTACTAATCAAAGGCCCATTAGTTGAAGCCCATCAAGCTTTTCCAAGACCACTAGCAATATTATTAGCTGATGATCTTTTAAAGAAAATGAAAACACTATTTAAATACATCTCTTTTATCTTTTATTTTTCTATTTAATCTTCATTTTTCATTTTCTTAATGTTTTCCTCCACTATGAATTGCCCTGCAAGTTAAGTTTGAATTATTGAGCTCAAAAGCCTCCATCTTTTCTTTTGTGCCCACCACTTCTCGATCCACTCTTTTTATATGGCATATATACATACAATTGATTAAGTACTTATTTATAAAAAAGCATATCAAAGACCTTTCTACACATAGTGAATATGCATGAATCTTCAAAAAAAAAAGAGATTTTACCTCAACGAAAATGCTTATATTCACTACAGTCTACATATAAACATTGTCATCATGCTGGTCTCTAGTGTAGTCTAGACTCTATAAAATGAAAAAAAATTTAAGAAGATTAACTATAGGATAGACTAGTTTACCTAAATTTAGCCAAAATCTGCTGGAAGAGTAACTTTTGAAACGTACGCGATCATATTGAATTTGAGAAAACACGATAAATCTAGATTTTTAACAAGAAAGGAAAAAAAACCACGATAATCTAGAATAATTCATGTCCATTACGCTAATCTAATAATTATTCACAATCGATTATATTTTTATTATTATTATTTTTTTTGATAAATCCTATCGGCTATCCGGTCGGCCCCGGTAGGAACGCACCGAGGTGCTACATAGTGGACTGGTCCACCGTGTTAACGGTTAGGCCCTTACGGGCTACCACTCTGTCTATCCCGAGTTTGGAATGCCTTCCGAGTTCCGACTAAATACCAGGGGTAGTCAGGCCTCCTGCATTTCTGGCTACCAGGTAAACCAATTGGGCCAAGGCCCAACTGACAGACTTCCCAAACAAATGTGTAAATTTACGACCTTACTTGAACAGGATCGATTGTAAATTTAAATTATGATTTTGGTCTAGTGAAACAGTTAATGTACATTACGATAAATCTAGATCTTTGTAATTAATCAAAGAAAGTAGCTTTGATAAGTTCTTATAAAAAGGTAGAAAATTCATAGAATAAATTCATTAAAAAGTGTTTTCAAATCCATCCATTGATAGAGGAAGAATGGCACACTGCTTGAACACCAACCCCTAGGAAATCCCGAGTTTGCCCACCTCCTCCTCCTGCGTTCCCAATCTCAACTCTTCTACGCTTCCAAGGGTAATTCTGTAATTCATCAATCCCCGAAACGACCCTAACACCGTTTCTAGGGTTCCCGATCTCATGAAGACCGTTATTATTATTACTCATTAACTCGACACTGTTCGATCCAAACAAAGCGAAGAACTTGTCGCTGCCACCATCTTCTACAATCTGATTACTCTGGTCGGAGATTTTCGACGCAAAACTCTGAAGATACCCTGATTGGTCGGTGGTGATTGTCGTCGTCGGTGACGTAGAAGAAGTCGATCCCATCTGAGCCGCTTTTTGAAGTAACGCAGTCGCTGACATGTTTGCAGAAGCCGCGTTTGCGTCTTGGGTAATTTGGTCGACGCTGCTAAAAAGAGAAGGGACGGAAAGAGAAGTAGCCGCGTTTGTGTTTTCCTTACTCTGGACGATATTAATATTATGGTCATGTGTAATGAGTGAATCGCTCGTCGTTATTAGCTCACCGCGATTATTCGCGTTTCCGAAAACCCAATTGTAATCCTCGTTCGGTGAATGCGGCTGCGGTGCGATACGGTCCTCGATTGTCACTTGCTGATGATGGTTAATATTTCCTCCCATCCATAAAGAGAGCGAAGACGCAGGTTTCATGACGTCTTGATGATGATGATGATCGAAGGTGGTGGTTGGGATAGGGAAATGTTGGTGGTGATGTTGCGGTTGCGGTGGTCCGAATGGAAACGACGGTGGTGGTTGTGATGATGGTGATGGGATAAGTGTGCCCATGAGATAATGATAGTTTAGATTACTACCAGCGGTTGCAGCAAGGCTTTTGAGATGTGAGGCTGCGTTTAGCCTAGCGGTTTCTTCTGCTAAAGCGTCACAGAATGCTCTATGTGTAATGAAGCTGTCTCTCCTGTTGTCCAAAAATTATACACACCAATAAGATCAATATCATTGTATTCATCATCTATAGACACTCACTAATTTATGCTTATGTTTGTATATGTGCATATGTAATGTATATATATAGCAGTTAAGGAAAGAAATAAATAAGGTTGTACATCTTACTTTAACCAAAATATGTCAATCCAAGAAACTGTCTTATTCAAGAAATCAAGCAGCACGTATGATCAGAGAATGACCAATATATATACAAAAAAAAACTCTTCAAATTATTTGGTGTTAGACCCTACATGAGCTACTTCCAACAACAACATATATCTTATTTTACTTACAAACAACATGATAAACGGGATTTATATTTGAGGTACAGTGGTACAGAAGTGTTAGTTGAGGTAACAGATTTATATTTTATTACCATAGTATTCACCGGGTAAAATATAAGATCTAGGTTTTAGTATGAGTTTTAAGATATGTATATATTCTAATTCAAACATGATTAACTTTACTGGTTAGAAAGCTAAGTCATAATTGAATCTATATATAATGCAATTAATCATGATATACGCTTACAGATAGGTGATCAAAATATTTTCTACGCTACTAAAATATATGATACTAGATGAGGAAATGTAAAGATCTATTAGTACGTACGTAGATAGTTTACCTTGAGAAAATTGTACCACAGTCGCATCTATACTCTCTAGTCCCACAAGTCTTGGAATGAGCCTTCCAATCAGATTGGACTGCATATCTCTTGGCGCATTTCTCACACTTCCACTTTTTCTCGCCATGTTTCCGACAAAAATGTTTCTTAATGCCGGTAAGGTCACCGAGTGCCCTTGTCGGATGGTGGTGGACGCAACTCTTTTCTGGACACACATACACTCGTTTTCTTACTTCTTTGCTTGTCCTCTGCTTTAGCTTCCATGGGAGGTTGTGTCCTCGACGGTGAAGCTGTAGATTCTGGTCTCTTTGAAAACCTTTTCCACATATCTCGCATAGGAATCGATTTGTGGCCATAAGTGTCTTTGGGGATAGAGCTATGACCTCGGCTTCTGGATCTATAGAGAACGAATAAACAATCAAATTCGGGATCTTTGGATCATGCGAAAGATCAAATCAGTAGAACGCATGCATGTTTATAAATAAAGATCGAAAACCAAAAAAATCAGGAAGATGAGTTTTCAGCAAACAGAGAGAAAAAAAAAGAAAAAAAAAGGCTTTATTGATTAGGTTGAATTTGTGATCTATATTAAACATGATTAGTTATTACCAGGATTTCCAGGGAGGTTTCTCTTCTTCTTGACAAGAGGAGGATTAAGGGAGTCATGTTCATGATGATGATGATCAACATGATCAGTTGTTGATGAGCTTTGGACATATCCTCCACTACTTGAAATTGTCTGATCTTCAGTTGTCATGTCTTCTTCTGGACAAAAGTTTTGTTGGAAGATTTACAAAAGATAATTTTTAGATAAGAGATGAAGAATAAAAGGGGTAGATAAGAGAAACTAGAAATACTTAGAATCCGATGGAGTTATGAATGAGAGGCAAACACAAAAGATAAGTTATATACAACCCTACACACTTAAGCCCATCTGTGTAATAAGAAAATAATATTCCTCTCTCTTTGAAAAAAATATACAACTATACAAGCACCTTGATCTGTAAGAACTGTCGCAGCCATTTTTATAAATAATTAAACTTTCATATATCATTCCCATTTTAAATTTTATATTTCTTAGTTAAAAGTTAATGGCGGTGGAAATTATATATAATTAAACTGACTATATTTATCTTGAATATTTGGTTTTTTTTTTTTTCAGTGGCAGTGCGTCATGACACACACAAAAGTTTATGTGTCTGCCTTTTTCTATTTGGAATGATGATCTCATTATTTATTTTCTCAGTTCTTTTTTTCTTCTTCTTTAGATAAAATTACCTTCTTTGTTCTTCTCCTTATAGTTTCTCTTATTGTTATTTTTAATATAAATATGTTGAAAGTCGTATCTAAGCACAGTCATGGTGTATATAGCTGTGAGTGATTTAGTTTAGGCTGGGATGGTCCGACCTCAAAACTTATGTACATACACTTCATCTTCATGCTATACTGATTAGTACATTTTGATAGTGATTTCTTGATTCTATAATTGCGATTTTAATTGACCGTAAATTGAGGTGGTCAAAGAAGTAAACAGATCCAACGGCGCAGGTAACATCTCTCGTTTATAGTTGAGAACAAAGCCTGCAATGCACGTGTACCCATGCACGTGCTCATGAGGTAAAATCCAACAACATACGACAACGAAATTAAAAACCTAAATATGCAAAAGAGAATAATCGTCCGGTCGACAGTGAAAACAAAACCCATGCGACATTATAAACTCTTCCCGTCAAGTACCCCACTTCAAATATTCGTTTTTCTTTTTTTTCCTTCACACAAGTGTTAATTTTCGATATCAATTTTTCATTTATGGTTTACCAAAAAAAAAAAAAAACAATCATTTATGTGAAAAAATTCATGTTGGTAGAATTGAGTATATACGAAGTTAGTAGATACGTACGAGTATCTTTTTCATGCTTTTTCTTACAAAGATCTTTTTGCAATGCTCCCTTTTCATCTTTTTCTTTAGCAAACTTTTTTTTTCCTACAAATTAAAGTATTTTCATAAAAATGGTTTATTTTCTAACGCATTTTAAAAAAAAGAATCTTAACGTATTACGAAAAAAAGATTGAACCAAAAAAGTAATGCTAACCTACTCAGTGCCGTACCAGGATTATCGAGGCTTAAGGCGAGGTTGAAATTAGGGATCCAAAAAAATACCTTTTTAATATAATTTTTAAATAAATTTTTTTTTAAAAAAATTCCAAACGATAGAAAAATTCCAAAAATTCACAACCTTTACTCGATTCCTTTTCAATTTAAGATTCTGGTTTCTTTTTTTGTTTGAGATATGTTTTCTTACCGGTTTGGAAATCTCGATTTCTTTATTGTAAAGCTTAATTGTGTATAAATACAAAAAAAAAAATTATTTGCATATTTGAATTTGGGTTGTTAACCCATTAAAGAGTTCTCTAAAACCATTCTGATACACTAAATTTGTGAAATTTGGAGGCTCTAAAAATTTTTTATATTTTTGTTACCTGAAACAAATGCTTTTTTTATTGCCCATAGGCACGGCCCTGAACCTACTATGTGCAAGCTAACAATTTTTTTTCTCTGAGTCATAACTATTATAAACTCATACCAAAATTTTAATTGAAACATCCCTTGTAGATTGTAATACTATTTTATTCATGAATAGAATTGTATATGTATCCGAATTGTATGTATTATTATCACTATCGTGTTATAATTTGGATAAAATCCTATATTTTACATACATACTATATGATTTGAAGATGAAAAGCGTAATAATACAAAAAAGAATACGTTAAACAATGTGACCATATCAAAATCTCGATCATATCGATTTTCAAACAAAAGTAAACTAAATGTGCTTTTTTATTACCCCTAGCTGAAAAGTAAGATAATTACGGTTAGTTAATTAATCGAAAGTACGAAGAGACAGAGAACTGACAAAATACAGGTGAATTTTTGGAAGGAAGATAGGTCGTCAGCTTGTGGGCTGACTTAATTACCAATTCTTTAGGTAATTTACACTTTAATCATAATGTAATCATGTTTTAAGATTCCTATAAAATAATAACATTAATTTAGTGTTTTAGTTTTGGACTTTTCTTCTTGAACTTTGGCGGCACTAGAATATTCCCCTAAGTTTTCGAGACGTTTTTTATATTTAGTATTGTTCCCTTTATCAATTAATCAAGATTCACATACACCAGATAGGCACTTAGACAAACGGGATTTGTTTATATATAACTATAAAGAAAAAATATATATATATAAAGAAATGCGTTTCTATGCGTGTATGACAATAATATGGCAATTTTGTATACTTCTTTTTATGCAGAGCTCCTATAAATAGATTTCCATGCTAATTATCTATCTATTTGAATTTGATCTATACCGCCCCTCATATTTAAACTAGAGTTAGAATAGTAAATCCAGCTGCATCTGGACAGCTCCTACGATTTAATTTTCTAAAGAAATGCTGAATTTGAACTTGTACAATACAATTGTAATTTGAGTATAGTCAAAATAATATTGTGAACAAGATGATAGCTGAGATATAACGCATCAACACAAATGAACAAGTTCGAATTTAGTTAAAAATAATTCTCTGTCTACATTTACAATTTTACATATGTTTCCATGGTGGCGTCGTTTATATATTTAAACAAATTTCTTTTTCTTTTTGAACATAACTTATGGATTTAAACACATGGATTATTTTAAAATTGGCAAAAGCTATATATAGATAATTAGCTGATTATAGAATCGATTTCAACATCATATTGGAGCACATTTTTTTTTTTCCGGACCTAGACTACTTAACCGGTTATTTACTAAATTTCCTTTATTGATAACTCAAAGAGAATAAGTGAATAACATTGATAAGACAGATTTAGATCCAGAGCCCAGAGGGTATACATACATTACAGATATACCACATGCTTTTAGTTCATAAAAAGCGCAATACTATATAGATTACATATATACCCACGATAGTGTAGGAATATGATGTTGTTGAAATCATATTAGTAGTATAAGGAACGGATTAGTCTACTGCAAACGTTAATTAGTCAAATTTTCAACTGATACACCAATGTTTTATTCCAACAAGTAAGCAACTTGCGTTAAAAATTATCACCAGTTGAAGCTTGTGTACATATATAGGCATTTCATGATACTAGATGCATCCACATATTTATAACGCAATTATTCATGTGGTCTTATGTATATGTAGAATAATATTTGCATAGACCAAAAAGTATTAACATGGATTCACATAAAACAACATTAGCTAGAATCCATACGTATTCTTGGGAGAAAAATAAAAAGTACAAACTAAGCCATCAGTAAATGTATATATATATATATATATATAAATACTTTTTATAATTGTATTAAACGTATTCCTATAAAAATATAACGCAATAAACGACATTTCAAAGAAGACAAAGGTTAGATCCATACCATAGCATAGAAACTTGGCGATATATGAAATAAAAATAAGAACATAATGGAGATATGATTAGACTTAAAGTATACATATGTCACTTAGTGGATGATAATGGCCTTCTTGTTTTTACTCGGCCTTGACCAATCCAATTCATTTTCGGTCAAATTGATATCGACATTCTACAATTCAAAATCGCGCTATATCTTTCTTTTTTTCAACCACCTTACCTTTTCAGTTCTATTTTAAACTCTTGGAATGCATTGTTGCTTATAACAAAGATATATTTAATATATATTTTAAATAATAGTTTTTGTAAAGCAATTTCACGATTGTAATTGGGAATTATTTTTCTGTTATCGAAATTAATTTGTGATCAAAATTTCTAATTGATTTTAAAGAATTTTTTAATAGTCCAAACATATTTATCATCGTATATATCGTCTCCAATCGCTACGAAAGTAAAAATACGAGAGCATATATTTTTTTACAGCTAAGAGAAAATCGTAGAATGAAAAACTTATGGAACCAATAAACAAAATGGTTACGTTCTTATTAACCAAAAAACAAAATGTTTACGTTCCATGCAATTATATGTGAAAATCTTTAATAAAAAAGGGATATATAAAAGATTCCTTTTTCATGGGTCGTGAAAGTAATTAAAAGATAAAGTCACGCTTTCCAACCATTTTCCACAAAGTTGATAGAAACTATTCAAGAGTGTAAAGCGAGAAAAGGAGAGTAATACCTAAACATAGGATCAAGTGGTAGTTAATTATGATAAAACATAATTAAGTGAAATGGTCATTGTCCTCTGTATATGAATCTTCATTGTCAATTTTCTACACCTATAATGCAAAACCAACTTTAAGAGTTACAATATGTATGATCTTACACAACTCTCTAAAATTTGGCCTTATTCATAGTTATTTATTCAACGGTTATATATAGAGCCGGACCTGAGTATGAGCTAACCAAGTCTGGGCTTCGAGCCTCTATGTGTTTATTAGTTTTAGCGGCCACTATTTGTTTCAAACGATCCAATTGGTTTTGTTGGTAATGGCTTGTCTAACTTCAGAGAAATGTTAATATGGAATTCGAACAAAAGTAAACTCTTTTGTCTTTTTATTCTAAAATAGGCACGTGTATAACCATGGTCACAGATTTTGCCTTCCGGTTTAAGTGATCGAAGGTATATATGACTCTCGTGAATCACGGTATCTAATTTTATAATCATAATTTTTTTTTGTGATAATTTAACTATATGCTTCACGATGCAGCACGTAACATATATTTTGTCAGCTAAATTTATTGTCTTTGAATTGAACTTTGCTTCGTACATAAATATCTTGCTAAAATTTTAATTAATTTTTGATAAAGTAAGTGCTACATCCATGAGATTTATGCAAATTGCTATAATTTAGCTAAGTAGGTTATATTAAAAGTTCACAAATCTTCTCCATATATATAAAAAATATATTTTCCATGATTTTACTGAATTATTCGACAGCAAATCATTGAATGATGAGGACATATGGCATTGTTCATGTTACGTATATGGATAAAGATTTGAATAGACAAAAAAAAAAAAAAAAAAAGATTTGAATAGACTAGTTTTATTTTTTCTGTTCACCAGAATAGACTAGTTAAAATATCGAAGTTGCTACCAAACGGTCAAATTTGGTCCACCTTCATCCATAATGGTTCGTTGATGCATTTGGGCTCGCAAAAAAGCATGTTAAAAAAGTTGGTGATAATTACTTAAAAAGTTGTCTTTTTCGCAATATAATATACTAATATAGTAATCAAAAAATGTTATTGGCTTCATGATTGAATGTTGGCCTCATCAAATATAGGTTAATCAAATATGTCACGGTCACTTGTATGGTTCTTCAAACTTAAATTCTTGAAAAAACCATTATTATTGTTTTAAAAAATTGATCACCACTCAAAACTTATTACATAGTACTCCTATGCAGGTATATGCATATGTATTTTTAAAAAAAGATTCAGAATCTGCCCATATCTTTCAAGAAATCTTTTTTGATTCTTTTAACAACATAGAATTTGAATTCGGATGGTTTACACATCATCGACAGAAATATTATATAGGTTATATGTAATTCAAAAATTAATAACTAAAATATATACTTTTAAAATTTCAACACAAAAATTATGATAGCACGCATACTAGTTTTGGGGTTCTTTTGCAAACGACCATTTGGTCAAAGAGCAGTAGAAACAGAACGGGTTAGGTTATATTGGGCCATACTAATTTTGTCAAGATTGGGTTCTCACATAAAATGTCAAAGAATGGGTTGTGAAAGCATAATTTTAAGTGTCACGCGGCACAGTTCGTCAAGATTGGTGTCACAAACGAGGCTAAAAAGCTTCAATTAAGGTCACAGATGATATCGTTCACATCATTGTTTTCGTAAGTTGGATTTCAGTAAAGAATCACTACACACCCACATGATCCCGAGTTTGCTGCTTCTCTCGATCTCCTCTCTGTTTCCACTTTAGAATGATGCTATGTTTCAAAAAAATCTGTATCATAAATTGTTTTTTGAAGATATAGTTGATGCACAAGGTACGTCACTAAACACATCCTTTTCAATTTCTATGGAAAATGTATATAAAGTCTCATATAACTTTCTTTTATTGGGTTACAGAGATTGACTTGGATGGCTTTGGTATCTCTGCTGGAGCACCAAATGGTCCGGAAGACTGAAACCGATCCCCTTGAATATGTCACCGAGTCGTAAACAAAATCCGCAAAGATACAAGGATAGTGTCAATACTCTTATGAGTTATATATGGTGACTGAACCACTCGTAGCAATTGTGACTTGTTCAACAATACTGCAATGTGCAGTTCTGTGGTAACTATAATGGCTCTTATTTGGGTGATGCTCTTCTGACAAAGAAAGCTTGCAACTAGCTTTACCACTTTTGCTAATTAACGGCTATTGTTTCTATGACAGTGGCATCTGTGGCTGGAATTACTCTTGTGATGAGCGATCTCCCATGGCTTTCCCATCTTGTATTAGCCATTGATTCAGCCTTCTTGGTAGTCCTGATGCTACTTATCATTCCTTATGCTTTCTCGTCTACAAGGCAAGGTTTTCTCAGACACATCTTCTACTTTCCTCATTTCTTGATGCTTTTGGTGGTTAACGAAGACAGTAACAACATGGATGGTTAAAGAATGCTCTGTTCTGTTCTGTTTTGTATCATGAATGGATGGTTAATCTTTTGTTATGAGTGACAGTTGTTTTTCAACAGTTTTGTATCTCACGAGTTTGTAATTGTGTTTTTACAAAGTAGCCAAAGATAAGCAACTACAAAAATCGTTAGTTGCAGGATCTTGTCGATTGCAAAGAGCTCACATGATCCCGACTTTGCTCCTCTCGATTTCAACGGCCCATTCTCTGTTTCACAAATAAGAAACCTAATTTATCTTGAAATGATAAATTGTTACGCACTAGATAATTTTACGTAAAAATAACAAATATGACCGTTACGCACTAAAACTCAAATAATTTAATTTTACGCAAATATGACCGTTGTGAGCCTAATTGAAATCTCCTTATTTTGCAGCCTAATTGAAATCTCCTTTTTCTTAACCTCGTCAGAAAAAAGGAAACAATAGAGAGACTTTCCTTTTTTCAATTGAACAACGTTTGCTTATAAATACTCACTCTTCTTCCTTGTGAAATCAAAATTCTTCATCTTTCATCTTTTTCTCTTTTTTCATACCTCTAGATTCTTCCGCAGCAAAGCTCTGCGATTTTGTTGGTCCGATCTTTCATCTTTCATCGAGACTAAAACTAAAGAAACCATCTTTCATCTTTTTCTTTTTTTAATACCTCTAGTCTCTAGAAACCATCTTCTGGATCGAGACCGTACGTGAAGGAGATGATCCATTCAGAGATTGAAGTGAGCCGAGGATCAATGTAACGATTTCATCCGTAGGATTGGTCGGAGGAAGACATCTCGTTTCGGGAATGATCCCCATCCTCTGATTCCAGGTCGGCTCTACCCTAATTTCACCGTTCTCATGAGATTACGAAGAAAAACAAAGCGGCAATAAAGAAGATTACAGAGACAGGGAGGGTTAGTGAAGGAGAGCACCAAGACGGCGATGGATACGAGACGGTGTTTCCATGGCTGAGATCATGAATACGTCGCCTGAGGATGATCTCTGCGTTTCGTCGATAACACGAGCATCAAGGTACCTCTCTTAATTTCCTTTTTTCTCTCTTAATAAGATTTTTATTTCTGTATTTTAATTAATTTTTAAATAAAATTTTAATTTCACTAATAACTTCACTAAAAATATTAAATAACAAACTGTTTTCAAAACCTAAAATTAAAAACTTAAACTAATTTTAAAAAATAATAATAATGATTTTAATTCCACTAAAATTTAAAATAAATTTAACACTTAAACATTTAAAAATTATATTTTAAAACATGTTAATTTCACTAAACTTTTTTAAAAATTAGTTTAAGTATTAAATTTTAAACACGTCGAAAACTAACCGCGCCTAGGCATCCTGTGCTTAGTTGGTTCGTAAGCTTTGGTGTACGAAGTTCGGCATAGTTTCACGTGATATAGATTTAATACTTAAACTTCTTTTAAAAAAATAATTGTGATTTTGACTAAAATTTAAAACAAATTTAATAATTAAACTTTAAGAAAATAATGTTTTTAAACTAAAACTATGTTAATTTCACTAAAGTTTTTTTAATATTAGTTTAAGTGTTAAATTTAAAACCTAAAATTAAAAACTTAAACAAATTTTTAAAAATAACAATAATAATTTCCACTTAAATTCTTTTAATTTAACTAAAATTTAAATAAATTTAACACATAAACATTTAAAAATTATTATTTTTAACTAAAACATGTTAATTTCATTAAATTTTAAATAAATTTTTAATTTCACTAAAAATATTAAATAGCAAACTATTTTCAAAAGCTAAATTTAAAACTTAAACTAATATTAAAAAATAATAATAATGATTTCCACTTAAATTTTTTTAATTTAAATAAATTTTACACTTGAAAATTTAAAATTATTACTTTTAACTAAAACTGGTTAATTTCATTAACTTTTAAATAAAATTTTAATTTCACTAAAAATATTAAATAACAAACTATTTTCAAAACCTAAAATTAAAAACTTAAATTAATTTCAAAAATTAATAATAATGATTTCCACTTATATTCTTTTAATTTAACTAAAATTTAAATAAATTTAACACTTAAACATTTAAAAATTATTGCTTTTAACTAAAACATGTTAATTTCACTAAATTATAAATAAAAATTTTATTTCACTAAAAATATTAAATAACAAACTATTTTCAAAACATAAATTAAAAACTTAAACTAATTTTATAAATAATAATAATGATTTCAACTTAAATTCTTTTAATTTAACTAAAATTTAAATAAATTTAACACTTAAACATTTAAAAATTATTACTTTTAACTAAAACATGTTAATTTCACTAAAATTTTAATTTTAATTTCACTAACCAAAACATCTATTTTCAAAACCTAAAATTAAAAACTTACACTAATTTTAAAAATAATAATAAGGATTTGCACTTAAATTCTTTTAATTTAACTAAAATTTAAATAAATTTAACACTTAAACATTTAAAAATAGTAAAACATCTATTTTCAAAACCTAAAAGTAAAAACTTAAACTAATTTTAAAAAATAATAATGATGATTTGCACTTAAATTCTTTTAGTTTAACTAAAATTTGAATAAATTTAACAATTAAACATTTAAAAATTAGGGGCTTTTGCAAAAATGACAATTTTTCAATGCCATTTTTCAAAAATACCCCCTTTTTAAAACTTTATAAAAAATGCTCTTAATTATAAAAGATTTACCCAAAAATGTATGTAATATTATGAAAACATACACAAACTACATTTCTATGTATCTAAAATCTTATAAATACTTTATAAAATACCTTATAAATGCATTTTAAATACCGTTAAAATATATTGTAAAACCTTTGAAAAACCTTAAAAATCATTTAAAATAACTTGTAAAAACCTTTAAGAACACCTTATAAAACCTTATAAATACTTGGATCGAGTCTTCAAGTAGGAGTTACAATCCATAAGTACCTTCTAAACCTAATAAAATTTTATAAAAATTTCAGATTTAAAAAAGGGCATTTTTGAAAATTGACATCTAAAAGGGGCATTTTTGAAAAGAAGTATTTTTAACAATTTCCCTAAAAATTATTACTTTTAACTAGAACATGCTAATTTCACTAAATTTTAAATAAATTTTTAATTTCACTAAACATTTTAAACAACAAACTATTTTCAATACCTAAAATTAAAAATTGATTTGAACTTAAATTCTTTTAATTTAACTAAAATTTAAATAAATTTAACACTTAAACATTTAAAAATTATTACTTTTAACTAAAACATGTTAATTTGACTAAATTTTAGAAAAAAATTTAATTTCACTACAAATATTAAATAACAAACTATTTTCAAAACAGAAATTAAAAACATAAACTAATTTTAAAAATAATAATAATGATTTCCACTTAAATTCTTTTAATTTAACTAAAATTTAAATAAATTTAACACGTAAACATTTAAAAATTATTACTTTTACCTAAAACACGTTAATTTCACTAAATTTTAAATAAAGTTTTAATTTCACTAAAAATTTTAAACAACAAACTAACTTCAACACCTAAAATTAAAAATTTAAAACAACTTTAAAAATAATAATAAAGATTTTCACTTAAATTCTTTTAATTTAACTAAAATTTAAATAAACTTAATAATTAAACATTTAAAAATTATTACTTTTAACTAAAACATGTTAATTTAACTAAATTTTAGAAAAAAATTTAATTTCACTACAAATATTAAATAACCAACTATTTTCAAAACAGAAATTAAAAACTTAAAGTAATTTTTAAAAATAACAATAATGATTTCCACTTAAATTCTTTTAATTTAACTAAAATTTAAATAAATTTAAATAAATTTTAACACTTAAACATTTAAAAATTATTACTTTTAACTAAAACACTTTAATTTCACTAAATTTTAAAGAAAGTTTTAATTTCACTAAAAATTTTAAACAACCAACTATTTTCAACACCTAAAATTAAAAATTTAAACTAACTTTAAAAATAATAATAATGATTTGCACTTAAATTCTTTTAATTTAACTAAAATTTAAATAAATTTAACACTTAAAAATTTAAAAATTATTACTTTTAACTAAAACATGTTAATTTCACTAAATTTTAAATAAAATTTTAATTTCACTAAAATTAGGGGTTTTTGCAAAAATACCACTTTTTCAATGCCATTTTTCAAAAATACTATTTTTTTAAAACATTATAAAAAATGCTTTTAAAATATAAGACTTACCCAAATATGTATGTAATATTATTAAAACATACACAAACTACATTTCTATGTATCTAAAATCTTATAAATACTTTATAAAATAACAATATTAAAAAGGGGGTTTTTG